AACGAACCGTTTGACGAATGTCTTAGAAAAGTCATAGCACACCGATCGAGAAAAATGCGCACGGTTTGATGTACTTTGTGTGAATGTGCGTCAAACTTTGTGGGAGGAGTAGCGGGACGAAAATTTACGGAAGAAGAACTAAGAAAAATAAACGCAAAATGTTCGAGGAATAATAGTATAAGTGCCAATGCATTGCATGGGGCTTTGCCCCATGCAATGCATTGCCAGCTGGGGGCTCTGCCCCCAGCTGGCAATGCACCCATAATAAAATTGTGCAAATATTTCAGATTAAAAGCTTTATTTTTTTTTTAAACGACTGGATTCAGTCCAACAAAAACGCTGGAGAGATTTTATTTTTGAAAACGCCTCGCAAACATTTATGTTTGGCTTTTGAAATTTAAGTCACTGGCTCGAACAGCAGGGACAGAAGTTATGAAGCTGAACATGTAGGTAATTTTAATGTTTAAACGATAATAATAATAATAAAATGACTTTACCGGCAGGTTAAACTAACTTAAATTTGTTTGCGTCTTCATGCAGCTTGTTTTGACTAATTTGTTGATGTGAAACACATTTTCTTTATTATTATAAAACTACAGATCATCATGGGTTTTCCAGGCTGGTGGGTGATTGAGGTTTGCTGGGGTGGGGGGGGGGATCCGGTATTATATTCTTTCATAGGGCCCAAAATGTCTAGTTCCGCCCCTGCTTGCACGCTCTCTCTCACTCACTCACATACTTGTCTTGCTATGTATGTGAGATCAGTCACTGACATGAGAAGAATAAAGCTAAAGAGTGAAACATGATATTTTATTGCTCTTGAATGTTGATTGATGTAATTAAACATTGATTTCTGCATCACACACGGCTCTACACTGTATGTGTTGCTGACAGTAAACAGACGTGATACCTTCTGACAGATATCAATAAAAACTGTCAAACATGCGTTCGTCAACTTCTCTCCTCTGGATTTCAGCTGCTGGACATCGATGAAACTGCTGATCAAATCAAATTAAAACCTTTTTATGGAGGATTTTAAAAGGTGAGTGATTTCCTCATACGCTCCCGGTTATAAATTATTATTGACATGCAGATTGTTTAACAAAGGAAGTGGATGAGTCTGATTGTAAAATCACATGTTATATGTACACGGTAGTAACACAAAGGCTTCCACTGCAGTACTTTCACTCTCTTGGCCTCATCAGCAGGAGTGGATGCTCGTTTTTCCCACAGCCTCCACTCTTCTAATTCTCTTTTGTATTTTCAAGGTTCCCCACATTAGCACACCTCGGAGGCTCCGGCTGTCACTCACTCACAGCTGTAACTCTGCATGGACGTGAAGGTCATCCGTGGGTAGTGCGACTGTACTGACATGCAGCTCTCAGAGATTGTCAAGATCCACGTGACAGCTGATGGATTCCAGTAATTTCAAGGTTTGAAGAGTGATGAGGGAGAAGTGGCACCGCGTGGGAGTGAGGAGGCAAGAGCACTTCCTCCAACCACAGCTGAGAGTCGCCGCCCGAGGCTGCACCACACAGCACTTTACAATCATGCTGTGGTTATTCTGCACGAGGGGCCACACAACATGTCCTCATATTCTCCTCTCACAGACTCTATCTGTCCTTTCACCCACATTCAGTGGTGATGAACAACAAGCCGCAGTAATGACCCCATGTTGGTTTCTCTTCAGCAGGTCTCTTTCACTTTCTCTTCCTTTTAAAGATGTTTTTCAATCAGGGAAGTGCAAAGGTTTGTAACAGCAGCAGAACGAATTTAGAGATCACCGTCTCAGCTCCGACCTCATCATTCCTTTAGATGTGATTATAGAGATAATAGATGAGCAAATATCTTAAAGCAACACTAAATGCTATTTTTTATAGCAGCTTCAAAAGGAGATTGATGGTTCAGAGACCAACAGAATTAGACATTACATTTTACTGCAGATGGCGCTGTTGCTCAGCAAAAGATATATGGTGATGCTTTAAACAAATAGATGTGTGGTGAAAACGAATTTACCAGAGAAATATCAATACTTTAGATAACTGTGTTACCATCGTGGATTTTTGAAGACCAATGATATTCGGGAGTAAACAATTTCTAACACAATATCGGTCAATATACAAATGTATATATTGAATATGTAATATGATATCATTATCAAACCCTCATGACAAATTTAGTCAACCAAAGGCTTTATTATAAATTACTATAAATAAAAAAATACTATATATACAACTTGAATTTAGAAGATAAATATGTTTTTGTAAAATGTAAACATGAATACATATATTTTCTGGATGTTTTACTGTGTAAATATATACATATTGTAAAAGTAAATAAAACCATATCACATCTGATAACAGATTGAAAAATAAGAGCAGCAGAGATGTTTCATGTGAAGGCCTTCATATGAGCTGATGTTTGTGGAACAGCGGAATCAGGAGGACGAGCTGAGTGACGCAGGCAATCTGTCCTCATTGGACTGACGAGGAAAACCTCATGTACCTGATAGCTGGGAGGCTGATGGTGGCAATTAGAGCTAAACTCCAGCTGTTCCAGGATCCCCATCAACATCTGGAGCCAGTGGAGCGAT